CTTTCCCTTGACAAAGTCTCTGGCTCTGGCTTCAAATCAAAGAAAGAATATCTCTTTGGGAGGATTGATATGCAGCTCAAGCTAGTTGCTGGCAACTCTGCTGGCACTGTCACTGCTTACTACGTATGTTCATTAATACTTGCAACACATTTTCATTACAATATTATAAACTACAAACAAATATTTCAAATACAAAGGTTAGAAGGAGGCCTTTTTGTTTTTTACTCTTGGTGCTATTTTTTTAAAATTAAAATTAGAGTTTTAACTCTATAATTTACCTAATATAGGTATGCATTAAATGTTTACATATGGAGTACTGAGCTAGTATATGAAGGAACAACGATAAATATAAAGTTTAATGTTTATCTACCAATAATATAAAAGTTTTGTTTTATATTTTCAACTAATTACAAATCATATGGATGACATTTAAGTAATTTTTCTAACATTAATAAATTTATTATACATGCTTAGTTATGATTAGATGATAGTATAAAAGTCTTTCCATTGTTAGTGAATATACCATTTTCTTATAAAAATATATATAGAAATTTATTCTTTTACATATTTCAATATTTTTTTTATTTTTGCAAATTAAAAAAATGTAAAAATAGTATAAACTTTGTGATGTCATCACTTTTTTTCTTCTACATACTCGGTACCCTTATAGTATAAAATACTTTTACTGGAACAAAACTATACTCATTAAAGTTGATCAGATTCTTTCCTTCCCTATATTAGTTAATACAGTGATACTGTAGACTTTTTGTATGTTTGTATGTTTTTTTTCTTTTGGGTAGCTTTAGCATTGATTCTTCATGAAAGAACATAAATTGTCCTGTCTTCACAAACGACCATTATTGACTCAGTTTTATGCTTCAGATAACCTTTTGTCAAACTCGGCTGTGCATTCACGAGAATGCTATTGTAGCAAACCCACAAAAACAAGTTAGACTAAAGAATTTTACTTTGTCAACAACTAATTCTTTATTTATTCATTCCATGGTGTTTTTCAAACATTGACGTAAACATTAATCAACTTGGTCCTTTTAAAGCAGTGAATTATTTCACAAGCCCCCGTGACAGGGGAAGGTGACTAACTTTGACCAAAACATTAACCTCATGAGTTCGTAGCACAATGTAATGACAACAATATAATGGATTATAAAAAATGTTGGTGTAATTTGTTGTGTGTGTGGGGGCAATCATGGTCGAATCTTCACATAAATCACCCTTATCATAATATGTTTTCTAGTTTTGAATTTGATAAAAATCTAAGACTTTTTAAACTCATTATTATGCATGTACAAAATTTAAGTTCCTGTTAATAAAAAAAAAGAAGAATTCCCTAAACTATGGTTCCTTTTCTTTGTCTAGTTGTTTGTGGTGCTACTATACATAAAGGCAATTATCAATAACTGTAGTATTTCCATTTGCTGCGGTGCAGTTGTCATCCCAGGGACCAACACACGATGAGATTGATTTTGAGTTTTTGGGAAACCTAAGTGGGGACCCCTATATTCTCCACACAAACATCTTCACCCAAGGCAAAGGTAACAGAGAGCAACAGTTCTACCTTTGGTTCGACCCCACCAGAAACTTCCACACTTACTCTATCATTTGGAAGCCCCAGCACATCATGTAAGTCATAACAAATAAACATTATAAAATTAAAAACACCTTTTGTTCATGAGTAAATAATTTATCCAGCTATTACAACTTTACATTATCATCCGATTACAATTGTGTATATGGTATGATATGTTTGTTCACTTTTATCATACCAACTTTAAATGTCATATATATCATATGGTTGATTCAAACTTGAAAGTGTAAAAAATTTGCTAGTGAATATTTTTTTGTCACGGTACTAGTCAACTTAGTCTATTAGAATAGAGACTATTACTTGTGATATTATCACTGTCTTTAGTCCGAAAATTTTTCATACACAATGAGGATTTGTTAGTGAATATAAAGTTTTTGTTATTCTCTTTTTACTATTGTTGTCAATACTTTTTATCAATAATTATTAACAAAATCATCATGAATTGTGTTAACTGCAGATTCTTGGTTGATAACACACCCATAAGGGTATTCAAGAATGCTGAATCTGTAGGTGTTCCTTTTCCAAAGAACCAACCAATGAGAATCTATTCCAGCCTGTGGAATGCTGATGACTGGGCCACCAGAGGAGGATTGGTGAAAACTGATTGGTCGAAAGCACCCTTTACAGCATACTACCGCAATTTCAAAGCCACTGGCTTGTCACCTAAGTCTTCCATTTCAAATTCTGGTGCTGCATGGGAGGCTAACGAGCTTGATGCTTATGGCAGAAGAAGACTGAGATGGGTTCAGAAGTACTTTATGATCTATAACTACTGCAATGATCTCAAGCGATTCCCACAAGGTGTTCCTGCTGAGTGTAGACACTAGACGCTCAAGGTTCTGAGAGATTAAGAATATGTCACTTTTCTGAGTTGGATTTTAATGGTCTTTGTAACATATGCTATGTTTATGTCTTAGATTCTTTAATCACTTCTGTCTTTTTTTTTTGCTTTTTAAGTATCTGTTTTATAGTTTGCTAATGTATATTAAGGGTTCATAATAATAAATCAAATTCTTTGTACCACTTTGCTTGCCTGTATGGACAGTTGCATGATCTCAATGTCTCATCCTCATCCAGTCTGTGAAATTGATCATGTTGGAATCAATTTCTATTTGTTCATATAATAAAATGTTGTAGCCAAGTTTAATAGAATTGGAAAATTTTATAAATTATAAATTTTGTGTATTTTTTATTTTGAGTTTCTATTAAAATTTTAAAGTCTTCAATAAATTTTAATTAATAATGTGTTAAATAGTCTATGTTACATGTACTTCCACATACCATATTTTCAGTAAAATGGTAGACATTAAACATTCAAAATTAGCAACATTACAGCAGGAAATAAGATTAAATGAGAGGATTCAAAATGGGGAAATTAAAATATAAAAAGAACATAAAGACATTAACATTAGGAATAAAAATTATTCTCTTATTATTGGTAAGAGATCTAAAAAAGAATATGGAATTTAAATGGGTGGCCTGTATTTGCAAATTGCAATAGTTGTATTTGTACATTCTATATATTCTCTTCGAAAGCATATCAACATTTATCAATTAAATGTATTAATAAGATGGATCCGAAAAGAATTTGCCCCTCAATTGTGATTTTGGATCTTCGCAAGCATATCAACATTCTATATGGCAGCTCTCTTTCCATTTTCTCTTCATCAAAAATTATATATAACCATACATTTACATGTAATGATTCAGATAAATCAAATTTGTAAAGTAATAAATTGTCGATCTATTTCTTGTACTGATTAATATAATTTTAAGACCCGAAAATCACAAATGTAAAATTGACTAATCTGTTTCTTAATTTGGTCAAATATAATTTTAAGATCCGTCAATCACAAATTTAAGATTGACGAATAATCTGTTTTTCCATTTTTATTTTTTGTACGAATAGTAGAGAGGTCCAAAATGAAGCGAGTAAACATCAATATATTGCATGCTTATCAAACTTCATATATCAACAATTCAACATGCAACAGCACCCAAAATCATCGGACAAAAAAAAACAAATAAATAATCATAAAAAAAAGCTATATGTTTCTGTTCTGAAGGCTCCTTAATTTTAGGGTAAGACAAATGCATGCATAGATATAGTTTGACAAGCTAAGTGAAATGATTGAAATCTCTTAAAAGTCAACGTTAAAAGAATTTGAGCCACTTAAATCAGGGGTAAATATAGTTTCTTGATTAATAAGTGTTGCCTAAAAAGATAAAATAAAAAACAAATTGCTTGTATATTTTTATAATAAAAAATAGATAAAAGAACATAAAAGGGTAAAATAAAATAATAAATGTAATAAAAACAAATAAAATATTATTATTATTAAAATATTGTAACTAAATAATAGTATTATATAAATAATACTAGCTTTGTTCTTTTATAATTAGAGATTGAAATAGTTTTTTTCTTTTTTCTTTTTAAGCAACATACTCTTATCATTTCATTATGAATAAGAAATCAATATAATCTACAATGAAATTAAAGACTTATGATTAGCAAAAAGAAGAAAGAAAAAAATCTAGACTCATTTACAAGGTATTAGACGCTTTTTCCCTTAATTACAAGAAACAAACTCGTTTTTTTAGCAGCAGTATTTCTTTATTTATTTCAAAGATTATTAACGAAACGCTCACTCATTTTATATGTAAGTGGATGTATTTGTGGCGGTTTTAACAATATTCTTTTCTTCCATAATTGAAGTGTTGTTCTAAGTTTTATTATACAGACTAAGAAAATTAGTAAATAGATGAAAATTTTTAATTATTTTATGAAATTAACTTTATTATTAAATTTTTTTGTCAAAAATGATATAATACAAAAACATTTTAAAATTTAACAATACATTAAAAAAAAGTGTGTTTGAGTAGATATTAAATGTGTTTATAAGTTAATATTTGACTAACTTATAATATAATTTGACAAGAATAAATTTATCTAATACGGTTAATTTATTTTAATAAATTTTAACTTATTTTTATAACCTACTTCTCGCTTATGAAACTATTACTAGTTTATAAAAATAAGTTAGTATACAAGCTACTAGTTTTGTTTATAATTCTTTTTATCTCATTAATTTATTTGAAATTCATTTTTATCTTAAATAACTAAATACTTCATGTCTTTTATATTTAATAGCTTATAGAAAACTAGCTTACTAATTATTTTTACAAAATACTTTCAATCTAATTAATTAACTTATAAACTTTTAAATTTTTAACTCAATTTATATAGCTTATAATAGATTTTTAAATTCAATAGCATATGATAATCTCAGCTAATTTATAAAATTTTCATTACCTTAATTTTACTAAATACGGAGTTTTATTAAGAGAAGCACAAAGTACAAATCATATTTTGTCCCTATAAATTATGAGTTGTCTTATTAAATATAATTATATTTAAATTATTTAATTATACAAATATTATTATAATAAAGTTTAAATTTATATTATTAATTAAAATTAATTAGTTTAATTATTTATTTTGATAAATTATTTATATAAAAACTAGAAGTGATATAACTGAAAAAATATGATTTATCTTCCCGAAAAAGTTATCATGAAAGACCTTTAGCCAATGTTGTCCCCTTGGCCAAACATAATTAATCTAACACTTTTGTCTGTATATATTATTATTGTGTCAATAATTGTACTTATAGATTCCTCTTATTGAGAAGAGATAGAAAGAGCCAGACTCCTCCAAAATATCTGACATCCAATATAATATACATGAAAAATGCTGGATGCGAACGAATCGAAACTTGTTTCGAATTATTAAAAACTCAATTTAAATAATAAAATATTAAATTAAATAATTATTTTATAATAAATTTATTTAAAAATATTAATATTTTAATTATTCGGAGGCCGATTCAGAATGGATATAACAATATATACAATACAATATAGAGTATTTGTTATTGGAAGAATCCAACGTTAGCATACGACATATAAAAATAAAAGAGTAAGGATTTTCATTTCAGTTGAAGACATCAACTCAATTAAAGTTTATTAATACAAATATTAAAAATAACAAAAATATTCAACTTAACATAAGAAAATAGTTTATTATTGAAAAAAATACAAAACTCATAATAACAAATTATTAAAAGAAAATATCATTACAATAAAATTAAAGCCCAAATTTAGTTGAGAATTTTTTTTATAACCGGAAATTCTAATATTTTGAATCCATTTGTTTATATTTAAAAAAAGTATTTTTAAATAAGTATAATACATATTTTTAGGTGTTTATTTTAAGTTGTGTCAATTTTGTTGAGGTGAGCTAAGGGCTTTCTTAGATTTTTGAATTATATAACAAGAATTTTCAAAAATCTAGAGAGAAGGATTGGAGAAAGGTTTCTTAAAGTAAATATTCTTCCTTTTTTTTACTCTAGTTAAGAAGTTCTTTTCTTCCTCCCTTGTAGCTGATCGAAGTTGTTGATTAGAAGAGTTAGAACTTGTGAAGTTGGAATTTCAATTTCAGGGTCATAAGGAGTTTGCACTTCTCTTCTCTTACGAATTCAATTCTACAAGAGGTAAGAGAAGTTTGTGTTGTCTAGAAATCTTGTATAGATTGTTCTATGTGATTCATCTTATTGAGAAAGATGAAATGATGGTTTTCATTATAGTAACTAATTTTAAATTTGTTTTCATGTTGAAGTTGAGATTTGGATTTGGATGCAAAAGATATGAACTTGATTGTGTAAATTTGGTTGCATGTCATTTTGGTGTGAATAAATCAATGAAAATGAGTTATAGATAGTGTTTAGAAAAAAATTTCTAAAGTGCAAGAGAGAAATAAAGAAAAAACAATGAGCATGCAAGAAAAAAAAAACTTTGCATTTAACATTGGAGCGTTGGTTTTGACGCTAGAGCACTAGAAATACCCTAAATAAGATGTTCAAACAAGGCTCAACACTACAACAATAAAATGAGCACTACAGCTGTAAGACCCAAATTCGTTCCTCCTTTACTCTTCATTTCTTCTTCCTTGGCTGAAACTGAATCCTTTTCTCCTCTCCTTCTTGTTTTCTGAAGATTGAGCTTAGGAAAAGCTAGGTTTTTGGTGCTAGAGAGCTTGAAGTTTGGGAGAAACCCGGAGTCCTGTGGAAGGTGCTAAGTAGAGGTGTGGATTGCTTGCTGGAGGCACTAATATTCTTTTTCTTCTTCTTTCTCTTCCCTGAAGCTCGGATTCTTCTTCTTCGAGGTAAGGGAAGCTAAGGGGTTTGCATGTGGTATTTTTGATGGTTGTTGAGTTGCATGTTGTGTGGTGTGCTGAAAATTTATGATTTCTTGTGCTGGATCTTCTTGAATTGGTGTTTGTAGATGGATTTGGTGCATTTGCATGTCAGGTTTTGGGTGAAAATGGTGAAGAACAGGTGGTTTCTATCCTAGGCAGCTGAGCCCTTTTAAAGGGCTGAGCCCTTTGAGGGTAGTGTGCAAGAAAGAACTCTCTGGAGGTAAAGGGCTGAGCCATTGGAAACGGCTGGGCGCCTTGGGAAACGGCTGAGCTCTTTGAAAGGGTTGAGCCTTTTCAGGGCCGCGAGCTAGGGGAGAATTCCTAGAGACAAAGCGCCGAGCGCTTTGGAGGCGCTAAGCGCTTTTGTGCTTTCAAAATTTGACTTTGTGGTCTTCATAAAAGTTGTAGCCTTGGATCTTAACTTTCCAATGGCGCTGGAATCACCTGAAAAATAGTTCTAGAACTCCATATATGGTTGTTTTAGTGAACGGGGGTCAAGTGTCAATATTAGTTATAGCTGTTGCGATTTTTTTTGTAAGTTTTGACAAAGTAGATGATGGATTTATGAATTGATGTCTTCATAAGAGTTGTAGTAAATCTTATTATATTTCATATGAGATAAGTATGAGCATGATAGGAGTAGTATAACTCCCGGTATGCTAATTTATGTGAAGGTTGCCATTTCACAAGGAGTGATTTGGATAAGTTGAAGGTTGTTTTGGGTGCGCAGGTTAAGTCATGATGTATATGTTGTGTAAGTTGTATTATGTATTGAATATGTTGCATGTTGTGAAATTGTTTACAAGTTATGTGTTGATCTATTATATGTTGAACAAATGATATTGTTGAAGCATGTTGAAATTAAGTGGTTAAAGTTGTTTTATGTTGTGTTGGCTAATTATATTTTGTGAAATATGATGAGATGATATAGTTGAGAGTTGTGAAGTACATGATGATAACGTTGTGAGTTTTGATAAGCATGATGTGAAGTGTATAAATGCATTAAGACGATACAAAAAGATATTAATTTGTGATGGTTGAGTTATAAATTATGAATTGAGATGTTGAGTTGATAGTTGAGCTGATGAGATGATAATTGTGTTGTTTAAAGTTGAAATGAGTTGTTATGTTCTTAAAATGTGTTGTTAAACAATGTTGATGAGTTGCGGTGCTGATAAATTGTGTTGTTCAAGTTGTGAGTTGACTAATTTGTTTAAGTTGAAAGTTAATCGAGAAGATAAGTTGAAAAGTTGTGTGTTGCTTAAGTTGTTGAGCTGAACTGTACTGTTGAGTTGTAAGTTGATTAAGCTGTGATGATGAGTTGTTGATCACTAGGACTAGGGAAGATATTTTCAAAGTTTCTCATCCCATTGTGCGGATTAAGGTAGTTGTGGTGCTTTGAGAGCCCAATTTGTTGAAAACTCTCCTTGGAAAGTTGTCCCTTGGAGTGGACATTGTATTGTTCTCCTCTAGGACTTAGTTGATCCCGTGTGTGGGCAAGGTCGAGGCACACGTGTACAAAGCGACCACGGTATAGGGGCCAATTCGAGCTATACCGATTACAAAGCGACCAATTTGAGTAAAGTACGAATTCGGGAACTTAGTTCCTAACCGAGTATCGGAGGGTTGTAGTATTTGGAGGATAGTTGGTAGGCTAATTCCATAGATGGCTTAGTTAAGCTAGCTAATGCCGTGGTAGGCCTAGACCCAGCTGTTCTATCTTGACATAGTACTATACTTCCTTGTTTAAGTGGTAAAGTCTGAGAAATCGTTATCGTGTTGTGGATTGATATCCAAATTTGTTGTTTACATAGCAAGCCCAAAAAGGTTCTGTGTTGTCGGTTCAGTAGGACCTAGCCACCTAAGCTGCTTACCCATGTTGTAGGAGATCTCCGAGTTGAAATGTGTGACGACGTATAAGTTGTGGATGAGTGGATATTGTGATGATATAAGTTGAATGTGTTGATGAGTTGATATTGTGATGATATAAGTTGAATGTGTTGATGAGTTGATACTGTGATGATATAAATTGAATGTGTTGATGAGTTGATATTGTGATGATATAAGTTAAATGTGTTGATGAGTTGATACTGTGATGATATAAATTGAATGTGTTGATGAGTTGATATTGTGATGATATAAGTTGAATGTGTTGATGAGTTGATACTGTGATGATATAAATTGAATGTGTTGATGAGTTGATATTGTGATGATATAAGTTAAATGTGTTGATGAGTTGATACTGTGATGATATAAATTGAATGTGTTAATGAGTTGATATTGTGATGATATAAGTTGAATGTGTTGATGAGTTGATACTGTGATGATATAAGTTGAATGTGTTGATGAGTTGATATTGTGATGATATAAGTTAAATGTGTTGATGAGTTGATACTGTGATGATATAAATTGAATGTGTTAATGAGTTGATATTGTGATGATATAAGTTGAATGTGTTGATGAGTTGATACTGTGATGATATAAGTTGAATGTGTTGATGAGTTGATATTGTGATGATATAAGTTGAATGTATTGATGAGTTGATATTTAGATGATATGAGTTGTATGTGTTAACGTGTTGTGAAGGTGTTGTTGAGATGTATGTTGTCTATGTGTTGTGTGTTGAACTATTTGATGATGATAGTGATGTTAAGTTGCTAGTGTTGTGAGTTATTTTCATATATATGTGTTGTTTAGATGTTGTGTGTTGTATGTTGAGCAAGTAAGATAATGATGATAGTGTTGTTATGATGTAAGTTTCTTTTAAACATGTGTTGTTGAGAGATGTGTAATACATGTGTTGGTTGTTATTGTGATGAATATGGTAACTATTCCAATGATTTGTACAGTAGTTACGTTGAAGTGTTGTTATAGTGGACTAGTGGTGATATGTTGAATCAAGTTAAAATGATGTTAAGATGTATAATATATGTGTTGTTGTCTTCTATGTTGGATGTGAAGATGATTATATAGTTGGTGTGTTGCATTTTTAATTATTATAAGTTGTTTATTATCTCTAACTTACCCTTGCATGTTTCCATGTGGTTTGGACTACGATGATCATACGATATATGGGAGCAGAGCAGGAATAGGCTGGGAGATAGCTGCTAGAGGTCACGGGAATTACCTGGAGTTGAATTTTTTTTGTTGGCTACCTTATAGTAGCATATTATGTTGTATATAGTTAATCGTTGTTAGTTGTTCAATTAGCAACTTGTGTTGTAATTATTTTATTATACTATTTTAGTCTATATATATTCCAGTAGTGTGTTGTATTGTTCTGTAGTGTGACAACTACAACAGATCGTTACAACAATAATAAAAAATAAGATTTGACAAAGATCCATCATTGCAATAGCAATTGAAAGTTGCAACATGGGAAAAAACTAGACCAACAAAAATCCAAAACTGAAACACCAAATTAAACATTGTAGGCTTGTAGCAACAAAAGTAAATCACCAAATTTGATCCTAAGATTTTTATGAAAATTATATCATTGAATATTAGCTTTCCAGTGACTTTAAAACTACCTGAAAAAAAAGGTCTAAAACTTTAATTATGACCATTTTAGCTATCTACATTTAAGTAAATTTTTATAGTATTTATGATTTTTAATATAAGATATGATGAAATTAGAATTTGATGTCTTCATAAAAATTGTAAATAACCATTTTAACTTTCATATGAGATATAGATGAATTTGAATAGATTTATGTAACTCTATTTATGTTATGTTATGTAAAAGTTGTCCTTATATGTTAATTGATAATCAACTATTGAAAATAATGATTTAAAATAAAATTAATTTTTTTTACAATATAAATTATTTATCATAAACCTAAAATATAATTTATACATTTAAAAATATTTATATATACTAATTTTAAATATAATTTATATATTTATGTATAATATTTATTTATATATATAATTTATTATAAATTTTAATTATATATAATATACATACATGTACATTACAAAATATTTTAAATATTATTTTAAAATAGAAGATTACAAATAAAATACAAGCGATTGAATAAAAAAATTGTGAAAAACAAAATATATAACTTTTATAAAATATATTTAAAAATAAAGCTAATTAAAATATTCATATCATTGGGGAAAAAAGGTATTTACAATAACAAAAATTACAACCAAAAATAAAAAATAAAAAGACAAAAAATAAAAGTAAAAATCTGTAAGGCTCTGCTCATTCGCTCTTGCTCTCACTTCCTGTTTCAAAGCATCAACCTAATGTATTTTCACTCCTACAAACAAAATTCTAAGATGAGAGGATAACTAGTGTAAGACTGCAACTAGACAATCACCCGTCTGGTGGAATGACTTTTTCTTCAACGTGAACTGCAAATGTAACCCTTGGTGGCTGCAAGCTCTGCACAAACAGGTTCAAATAAAACAATTGCTTAACTGGGGAGGAACCAATTTTGGGTATAACCATGCACATACCGTTATTCTGCAATGGATGTTAAGATCATCGTTCATCTGACTGAAACGGTCCTTTGCAAGTTCTTCTGCTGCAAATGCTTTCCTGCATGCTTCTTTCACCTGAAACGTACAAGGAGTAAATTAGCCCATTATTTTTAGGCTAAATGGTTGCTATTTTTTGCATATACAGATACGAAAATGGCTGGAATTACAAATTTAATGATAAACTAGTGTAAGTTCAAAAGAAAACCATGAACCGACAAAAAACAGTTAAGTAAAATGAAAATGTATTTTCATAGATCAAAAATGCATTTAAAAAGAACGTTACCGAGACTTTGTCAACACAAAGTGTCCCGTGATAGAAAGCATTGCTAGGTGATAAAATAGTGATCTAGTGATCAGAGGGAAAAAACAAACATGGGTAATAAAAGTATTAATCATGTCAAACACTACCCAACACATTAGAGATGAGCAAGATATCATGTAGTACTAACTTGGCTTCCATCAAAAACAGGGTTGTCGTTGACACTATCAGCAGATGTTTCTAACATACTTCTTAGAATAGATAGTTCCTTCATAAGGTCATGGGCAACCTCTTCGGCGTCTAGCAACTGATTTCTAGAAAATTCAAATGCTCTTTCAGCGTGAAGGCGAAAAGAAACACAGTTCAAACATGTGCAGATCCCTCTGCATCCTCTTGGATTTCTTTTTAAAATTCCTTTTTTGAAACCAACGGCAGGAACTCCAAGTTGCTCTACGACTTTCAATTGAGACAAACTCTGACAACAGTCGTGTCTTTCAGGTGACTTCTCATTACATGATATCAAGAAAGGACTATTTTCTTTTACTTCGGAGAAAACTGATGAATTGGATAAGGCAGGTGTGGGCCCTTTTTCTAGCTTGCAGAGTCCATTTAATATCATCTTTTCATCTTGCAGTTGAATCACTTTGCATGAATCGCGAGATAATTGACATTCAGGAATTTGAGATTTTGAGCTTGAACGATCATTATTGAAATCACATGCATGCAACCCTGTTTGTTGCGGAGTACCAGAATTGCCAGCACAATGTTCCATAGGAACACATCCATTTGAATCACTTAGAGAAGTTAGTCGCAAGTTTGAAGTTGAAATTGGTTGAAGACGTGTTTGATCCATAGACTTCCGAAGTTTTGGGTAACGATCATTTACTGAAGCACCTAGAAGTTTAGTTTAGAACTACTAATGCCGTGGCTAAGATAAAATTGAAAGAAAAAAAAATTACTGTACTAAATGAATATATTCTAGAAGAACAAGAACCAATACTTACAAGAATCATTTTCCACGGTATTCAAGAGAAATGGAAGCAATCTTTTGTAGTTTAAAGATCCAGCCTGTTTAAACAATCTAATCCGCGGACAACGTTTAAGAACCTGTTTCAAAACCACCAATCAAATATATTTCAAATAAATACACTCACGGAAAGAAAAATAGTTAAATCAATGAGAAATGTAAAATCATAATTTTATTCATGCAAATTCTAAGGAATTGTATTTCTGCAGTAAAAAAATTAAGGTCCTCACCGACGTGATCTTGGATTCAGAGCCATTTTCAGTTTGACAACCATTTATGCCTTTCAGGACACTTAATGCTTTGTCACCACTGTGCCCTGCCATGTCAGATTTTTCTGAGACAATCTTCTCAGATGGTGATCTTAGTACATTATTTGAAACCCGACCATGCTTTAAAACCACACAATTATCATTTCTAATAATTGCATGACTGCTTGTTTCATTCTCCTCAGCATCTATCGAATTAGTATCCAATTGTCTTAGACTCTGACCTTTGGGAGGACATCTGCTAACGCATTCACGCTCCTCCGGATTCACAAACTGCTTGCTTTCATCATGATCGACAGTGTATCCTTTTTCTTTACTTGAATGACGCTCAAATATAAGATCAGAGTCATCACCGTTAATATTATGCATGTTTTGATCTTTGGGTGGTGACTCACTATTGTGTTGTGTGGATATCATATCCTGTACTTCCTTGAAGTCATCATTTTGCGCAACATTCTTAGTAGAGTGAAAATCATCCACAGTTACTGAACTTGGATTCAACTCTGATACACTCGAGCGTTCATCTTTAGAACCAATCACAAGTTTCTCAATATGTTCGTTGACAGAGGGTGCAGATAAACCCTCACGAACCATTTCTTTTGGATCCACTTGCATCGGCAATTCAGGAAGGTCTTGGAGGGTTGTCGATTTTGACTGGTTGCCAGGAGATAACTCATTAGAAGGATTAGCTAATACATAGTTTTCCAAAGAATTAAACTCAACTGTGCCATGCATGGGACTGCTGTCTGTCTTGTGTTCATCTATAGAAGCTTCTTTTCTTTGAGATGACAAAGGAAGTTGGAACCTCTTTGCATGTATATCTGCCTCATCTTTTTGACGATGAGTCTGATGGTCAAATTTGGATGTACCTGTAGAATCAATTAGCTTCTTCATTATCCACATCTAGCATCTAATGAAATTTACAGTATTAAAGTGGTTGAATAAATAAGATGATTACCAGTGTCGTCCTTTGTAAGATCCATTAGAAATGGAAGCAACCTTTTATAGCTGACGGAACCTGGGGTTTTAAAAAGTTTCCTGTGCAAATGTTGTCTAGGCACCTGCATACACATCCCGAACCATTTAAATTGTCACTAGATGTAAAACCAAATTGTCAATATTACCAAAAAAACAAAAAACACATAAGGTGATAGAAAGCCCACAACAAAAAATCTTTTACCACCTATGGTTCCGAGACCTAATTTGATTAACAAACTTAAAATTATAATTTAGTAAAGATAAGTAACTACATGTCAAGCCCATAATTGGTAGAAAACCAAAATATGAAACCGGGACAAATGCTTACAGGTTTATTACTAAGAGAATCTTTCCCCCTATAAGTTTTCTGACAAAACCCTTCACCGGCATTTTCCTGAGTGCTTCTGGTCGAATCCATGGGTTTGACATGTCGATCATCATGGGATATGCTCTCTAATTGTTCTACAATGCCCTTTGAGTTATCATGTATATCAGCATCAGGAGGAGTTGTCAGTATACATTCTTCATTCAAAACACCAAACTCCAGTAAGGCACAAGCACTGTGATTACTACTAGCCTTAGACAATTGCTTAAAGTCATCATCGTGCAAATCACATCCAACATTTTTATCACCATAATCTGCAGCGGCATCCACCTTTGATTCACTCAAGCATTTATCCTCCACAGGTGACACAGATAAACACTCAGTAGCCACTTCTTTCGAATCTAATAGCATATCTGATTCATGTAAGCAGTGGGGAGATATCAATTTTGACCCATTAGTACCAGGCATTGTGCACCCATCGGTCTTGAGTTCTGCTTTAGAAGCTTCTTCACTTGGAGATGACAAAGGTCGGAATTCCCCTCCATTCTCCTCATCTTTCAGGCAAAAACCCAATTGTGACGTGCGCGTTCCTGTGAAAAGGTTATTAAACCAATTAACCCCTTCATCACACATCCAACTCAAACAGTTAACAAATAGTAAGTGTTTCGCTTCACAATAATTACCAGAATCACCTCCCACGGTATCCATTAGAAACGGAAACAACCTTCCGTAATTGACGGAACCTGGAGCCTTATATAATTTTCCCTGGAAACGTGGTCTAAGAACCTGCATAAGCAATCATAACTTTCAAAACAAAGTATTATAGAGTACAATTTAACCTAGGCTCCCACACTGACTCATTCAACCTAATTTTGAAAATCCTCCATAACTGCTAAAGGATAAAACGCCTAACCAATAAATAATTAAATATAAAAGGAAATAAACTTTTAAAAAAAATGACAAGCTCTTACAGATTTACTCTTAAAAGCAGAATCATTCTTCTTGCTATCAGTATGAGGCGTATCCTTAACGAGAGCCTCCGCTTCATGTTTCCTCTCATCTTCGTTAACCTTCGAACCACCGCAAATCTCAGCATCAGGTAGAGTCGTTCCATCCAAACCGTCAATTTTCCCCGAACAATCCCCACCGTTCTTTCCCCTGCGATCTTGCAAATCCCTGCTCTCCTCTAACGATTCACCATTCCCCCGATCAAAACCCGGAGCCTCGCAAGAAAGCCCCAAGTCAGAAGTCTCAGTAGCATCGGCGCTCATTTTCTTCCGAT